TACGGTATGGAGAAGTTCCACTCAAAAACACTGAAACAAATCATTTCAAATCAATGTTGTGCAACAAATAATCCTTATCTGTCAGTTGAGGATGACATGGTACAACAAGAATATTTATGGCAAGAGCTCTTTTATCTTTTTACTTTTGAATTCCACTGTATAACAGTATGAATAAAGACAACATTTTATTTTTTATGTTTTGCATTTGTGGTCTGCTCCCCTGATTTATGAAATATCCATGAATAATTCACTGAAATGCACAAAGAATCTCTTGTTTTTCCCCACAAATTCTCACATCTACTTCCAGATTTGTTTTCACAGATGCATTAAAATGTAATTGTATTGATAATGTAGCGTCTGGACGAAATCACAATGACTTATTCATTGTGAGCTTCAGAAAGCTTTTAACCTATTGGACTCATTCATGTAAATCACAGGTCCAGCGCCAAAGAGTCTGCATCAAATTGCTCCAATGACACGTTTGTGGCATGGGAGAGTATAAGCAGAAACACCCACAAACTCAAACTCGTGAGCTTCAAAAAGATCGTGATCACCTAAACACCCCTGTCACGGCAAGCAAGAAGGCCAGGTGGCATGGCTGGACCTCTCAGAGACGCCCAATACACATACACAAACATTCTTCCCATTTAACTCATCATATAAGTCATTCCCAAAATGCATATGATATATTCCTGTGTGTATGTATGTTTCAGACCTCCTTAGCCTAGTTATGACTTTCTAGTTGTGTTAGTTGAACTCTAAACGCTTATATTCAAGCGTAAGAATGTATCTCTACTTTCGAATCTTCCCAACATATCTTTCTTGGTACCAAATTAAACCTCTTGGTTTGCCCTAGGTAAATATATATATAGTAGGTTGTGATAAAATGTATTATACTATGTTTTCCATCCTTTGGAGTTGGAATGATCGATCAATCCTGACACCATCATAAACCATGCAAATTAGGCTGTCAGAAGGAGACAAAGAAAATCTCTCCCGGTCAAAGTTTCTGAGTGTTATTGGTCAGTTCACCCAAAATAGGCGTGGACTCAGTTTACCTTAAAGGACGATGACGGTGGCTCATCGCTGCTTTTTGTCTTGGTGTCTTAGTCTTGTTGTCTTTGGATCTTTGTGTATATTAGTCTTTTCTTTTTGTTCTAGCTCGCTTGCTTTTTCTTGTTTCTGATCAGTCCTATCCTCCGGGTGAAACGGACTCTTCCTCATTTTTTCGGCAACTTTTCTTTCAAGTAAACTGTTTGAACTTCCCGTGAACGAAACGCGCTCCGGAAGAACAGAAAGAACGCTTCAAACTCACGGACACAGCGAGGGTCATCACACACAGACATACACACATGCATTCTTGATCAGCAACAAAGAACCATGCAAGTATTACTTCTATCGAGAGTTAAAGGCGTTTAAGATTGTTTGCCTCTGCTTTAAGGTGATTTGATTCTTTGCTGGCTCTCAAAGGTTAGCTGTTTGTGATATTTGTCCTTTCTGTGATCTGCTCTCTCTCTCTCTCTCTTTATTTACTGTCGTTATTCTGTTATATGTATTCTTTGTTTAAATGTAGTCATATGTTTTTATAGTTTCATTTATTAAAACCCATTATTTGCTTGATTGTCTCTGTCTGCTGCTCACCTAACAAAGTCTTTTAAATGTTCAATCTGAAGCTACAAGCTTTATATTTGAGTAAGCTACTTTAGTTAGTAATCTTATTGGACAGAAAAGTTATTTTTCAGGGCCAGAAGAATAGCCTTTCTTGAGAGTCTATAAGAAGAATAATCCTTCTTGAGAGTTGATAAGAAGATCGTACAGTCGGTTCAGTGTCAGGGTTCTGTCACTTCTGTCTAGTCAATTTCTTGGTTTTGTGAAAGCCCTGACACTCCTGTTTTGTCTTGTACTGTGTAGCACACAGCTTGTGTTTAACACTAGCTGTGTGCTTTCATGTTGTCATGTTTTGTGTGAACACGTGGCTTATGAGTGTTTCTTATTAGCTGCGTATTCATGCCTTGTTTTGTGTGAGCACATGGCATTTGTTTTACTGGCCATGTGCTTGTGTTCTAGTCATGTTTGGTGTGAGCACATGGCTTGTCATGTGTGTTTCCTTGTGCCATGATTATTGATTAATTTTATTGATTCATGATTATTGATTCACCTGTCCTCGCTCGTTACCTGCTTTGTTTGCTCTCCCTATTTATTCTCCGTGTGTCTTCAGTCCTGTGCTGGTTCGTCGTTGTATGTACACTGTGTGTTTCCCTGCTGTGTGTTTCAGTCAAGTCAAGTCAAGTCAAGTCTTGTTTTCCCCCTTGGGGTAGGTTTTGTTTGTTTTTGTTTTAATTTTTTGCTTAATAAATACCTGTTGTCCTGAATGAATGAGCCATCAGAGGACTCTGCAGACAATGGGTACCTTCCTCTTCCCATCTCCCTCCAATGGGGCCTCAGTGAAGGATCCGATGGTCCAGCTCGTCCGGTACATCTCACTTCGTCAAGAGGGTCGTGACATCAATGACTTTGCCTCTGACTTCCTGGCTGTAGAGGATGACCTGGACTACAGTGATAATGCTGATCTTAAAAAGGGTTTTAACACCTGCCTCACAAAGCCCCTCAGCCCTTGGGAGATGGGAAGGCTGGGGCACCTGGCATTTTTGGAAATTTGTGTACTGTTTACAACAACATGGGAAGGAGTCCCTTCTCAGCACAGATTCCCACCAAACTGACTGTTCACCCCTTCCACCTACAGTCAGTGGAAGCACCAGCCCTCCTATGACCTGTAGACGGAGGAGGAGGAGGAGGAAGAATGAATCTGCCACCTCTACCGAGGAAGACGCTGCAGCACTCCATGTGGAGGTGGGGTGCATTGCAGCTTCCCCGGCGCAGGAAAAGAGCTCCTGTCGCTTCCCTTAATCGAGAGGTCCTGTAGGACCCGACTCCGGTGGTCCCAGAGCTCCCTGTTATGGCCATGGAGGCCATCTCTGAGTAGCCTGCTCTTCCTGCCTGTCCTGACGCAGTTGAAGAGGCTGCCCTCTCCCTGTACGTTGCTGCTGTTATGTGTGTCTGGGCCACACATGCCTCCCTCTTGGCTACCTCAGCTCCATCTTCTCCTGAGCCACCCGTTTCCACTATCAGTCCTGCCTTGGCCAAGAGGGTGGTCTTCACCTTTTATGCAGTTGCTGTCCTGCATGCCTGGGCAGCACACACCTCACGTCTGACTTCCTCCAGTGCTGTTGGCACCCCAAAGGCCGTCCCAGAGCAGCCCGCTGCCATCCTAGAGCCCGCTGCTTGCCCGAAGACCGTCCCAGAGACCACTGTTGGCCCAGAGACTGTTCACGTCGTGCCTGCCGAGCCAGAGACTGTTCACGTCGTGCCTGCCGAGACAGAGACTGTTCACGTCATGCCTACCTAGCCAGAGCCTGTGTCTTCGGACAAGATGGCCACCTCTGTCCCTGGCCGCCTGTCAAGCCTGCTCCGCCCTGGCCGCCTGCTCAGCCGCCACCACCCTGGCCCTCAGCCAGGACTCCAGACTCACCGGAGTCTCCCTGGTCTGTCCCTCCGGCACCGCCCTGGCCCTCAGCCTGGACTCCAGACTCACCGGAGTCTCCCTGGTCTGTCCCTCCGGCACCGCCCTGGTCCTCAGCCAGGATTCCAGATCTGCCGGAGCCCTTTCTCATTAGCTGCGTGTTCATGTCGCGTTTTGTGTGAGCACATGGCTGTTGATTGGTTTTACTGGCCATGTGTTTGTGTTCTAGTCCTGTTTAGTGTGAGCACATGGCACAAGGAAACACACATGACAAGCCATGTGCTCACACACAAACTCTCCTGTCATTGTCTAACCCCGCCCATCTTGTTACCTGATTATTTATTCATTTGCTCCACCTGTCCTCCCTCGTTACCTGCTTTGTTTGCTCTCCCTATTTATTCTCCTTGTGTCTTCAGTCCTGTGCTGGTTCGTCGTCGTATGTAGACTGTGTGTTTCCCTGCTGTGTGCTTCTGCCAAGTCAGTCTTGTTTTCCCCCTCTGGTTAGAGGTGGTTTTTTTTCTTTCTTTTTTTTCTTAATAAATACTCATTGTCCTGCACTTGAGTCCTCGCTCCTTTCACCTACCCAACCTTGACATTCGGTGGACGAACAGATTATTCGATGTGATTCTGAAAATTTATCTATTCTAGCATATCTGTATATTAATAATTGATTATAATTTGTTGTAGTTAATCATCCATATATAAAGACACAAATACATTGGCTATGTATTCCCTTTTTGGGCAATTTAAAATATGTATGCAATACTTGATCATAACCATGACTAATTATCAATTATATATTCCCCTCATTTGAGCAGATTTGTTACAATAATAATACAAAAAAGAATATTGATTTTTATGAGGAGTGTTTACTGGAATGCTTCTAAAGCAGAAAAACACAACATACACTGTATTGTCTGTCAAAATTATGGAATTCACTGAAATATTATCACTTAATGTTCCAGTTAATAAACATTTTTGATTAAGGCAACATATGTTACACAATACAGAGATATATTACTACAGTGAATTTTTTTTAAATTTACTTTTAATGTACAATGGTTGAAGGGGAGTAGAATAATATCTCATTGTACCTAGTTTTTGAAAATGGATATTATTGCATTCACAGAGCAAACCTTTTGCTGATTGTTTAACAGAAGTTACTCCCAAAATTTGAGCAGAGTCACGGGACGGAGGAAAAAGGTGGATACATTCTTACAACCTGGTACAACCCTACTGCATAAAAGCTTTTTGTCTAGCAATGTTATCTATGACACCTTTTTGACACATTTAAATATCTCTTTATTCAGTTTTTTTGTATCAGTCATTGAGTAAACTTGCCTAAAGGCCAGGCAACTTAAGGCAATGCTTAACTATATCACTGACCTGAAAAGGTCAACAGAAAACTTGTTCTTACATGTCACATTGATTTATCATACTCGCACATAAACACACAGACAAACTTCTTCAGATATCTCACCCAGATACTTGTATAGCCTTCACATTAAGAATCCAAATGCTGGGAGTAAACCATACTGTAAATACAACACAATACAAAAGACATTGCTATCATTATATAACTTATTTATTGACAATTATGAAAAAAATCACATTTTATATCTGCATTAGGTACACATATTAGAAGGTGATGAAGTTTACCCAATCTGCTCTTATAGTAATACTGAGAGGCACCTTATACTCGGGTTTGAGTGGATAGTGGCAACATCATCTTCAACGATAGTTAAGATCCTCATCTTCTCCCCTTGTGAATGTCTTCTGGCTCCGTGTCCTGCAGTAGAAAATAAATCAGCATAAAATTAGGGTAAATTTTTTTTTTTAAATTGAATTACATTAGACCACAGAGTGTTCCTAATAGGCCATAAGGTGAACTAGAAAAAAGTGGCTAAAAAATGATTTTCGTTCCCACAGCTGGGCACTACTTTTTAAATTAATTTTTGCATAGACAAAACCATTATCGACTCTGTTAAAAGTTCTCCGCAAAATATCCTGCAGTTTTTTGTCACAATCCATAAATGTATATAATTGTGAATTGGAAAAAAAGAAAATCTTATGCTACTGGTTTTGTTTGTAACTTTATTTAAATTCATTTTAACAAAACAAAATATCTCTCAATCTGGCATTTATACATGTACCTAAACATTTGAGGCAGGTTTTGGTGAATTATATACTTAAGTGTGAATGTAGACCATGAAATATGGCACATTTGTAGAAACTTAGAAATTTTGGCACCAAGCAAAATTAAACATAAACATTATAAATTTAGCAAAACTGTGATGTTTTATACATCAACATTTTCAGTGGGTAGGCTACTGTGTACGAGTTCTCAAGCACCAGGCACTGTAAATGAGACATTGTGCATCATGGGACATGGTTGTCAGTCTAGACACGAGCCTTGCCCAACTTCAACTAGTAGAGGGCAGAGACAAAATACCAAAGGGGTTCTCAAAGAAGGTTCCTACAATACTTGTGTGGGACAATACAGTGGGACAGTGCCTGGTGTCTCGAGTGTTGTGCTAGCAACGATATAGATTGAAGCTAGCGATGTCAGGTTAATATGTGATGTAAACATGATAATGTTTGTATGTTTCTGCTATTCTCTGATTCTCACCTTGCAAGCGAAGCCACCTTTTGACGCAGTTTCTGAATGTATCCCACTGTGTGCGTGTAAAATCCTTTGTTTCTTCTTTCTTTATGGACGTGAGATGCATGCAGCATTGTTTAAAATAACTTTTACGACTTTTGAAGGAGGTCTGGCCGTAATTTCCTCTTCTTCACTACTCGATATTGACAAGGGCGCAGACATCTTGGACTAATATTTACCTGTCGTCCAAAAAAAGCTGCCACCTTATTGGTCTAGCGGGAGGCACGTGACGATTGTTCCCGCGAAGCCTCATCACCGATGAACAAAATATGATTACGCGAGGAAAGAACTATCGCGAGGAAAGAACTATTGCCGACTTTAAACAGTAATAAAAAATTAACTGCAGGATTACACATGGAGAACTTTTATTTTCTCGCCCAACAACAATAGATCTTTTTATTAGAATTAAAAGAATTTAGTGCCCCATATATGGGAACGGGATTGAACATAAATCGGCTTTACCTTATGACTATAAAGATGTGATCAGAGCGAATGTCTCTGGACAGTGTTGTGAAGCAGTTATTTTCCATTGTCTTTGCTTTGGTAAAATAACAACTTGTTGAATTTGTGCTATCAGATGAAGTCAAACTGATCAATGAGAAAGTTTCAACTACGATTATTCAATAAAGTAATTTTTACCATGACTTTGTCTGTTGATGATCAATTTTGTATATCACACAAAACCTATCTCCAAACAGCATCTGGTGAATAGGTGAAATATATCAGGTGTGAGTGTATATGCTGATGACACATCTTCTTACCAGGCAAGTCTTAAGGATGTTTCCAGACTTCCCCTCATTTGGCCTCTGTCCATCATGGCCTCCTAATCATCCCCATACACTGATTGGCTTCATCACTCTGTCTCCTCTTCACCAGTAAGCTGGTGTGTGGTGGGCGTTCTGGCGCAATATGGCTGCCGTCGCATCATCCAGGTGATGCTGCACACTGGTGGTGGTTGAGGAGATTCCCCCTTCCATGTAAAGCGCTTTGAGTGCCCAGAAAAGCGCTATATAAATGTAACGGATTATAAACAAAGGCAGATCTTTAAGAGTTGTAGCCTTCCTTTGAGCAAGCACATTGGAGTGTCTGTGTCTGAAAGACAGAAAAACAAATATGGAACAAGTTATGTCCAAAGAGAAGCATGTAGTAAAAATAATACAGAAATTGATTAATCAAATGTGAAAAATAATCAATGCATGGTCTTCACTGTATTAATTCAATATTATTTTTCTTAAAGATACAAAAGTAATTATAAGAGCAGTGAGCGATTTTGTCTTACCCTAACCCTAATTTTGTCTAACCCTAACATCTAGCCTAATATTTGTTTAATTTGTATCCAATATTCACTTTAAAACATACTGCACACATACTATTATTTAATATACAGAGCTACATATTTTTAACATAACACATTCGTTTTGCATATATAGGCCTATATATTATTTTTTTTTCCTCTAAATTGTATTGAATTATATTGCACTACTGTAGAATGCCTGAGCCTCAACCTAAGCATGTACAAATTGTAACTGATGTTTGCATACATGACAAATAAACTTAAAATTAAATTGAATTGAACGGACTGCGGTCACTTTAAGAGCTCATACATGGATCTTATACTGAAACATCTGGGTTTTCTGTCTCTCAATCAGCACAAGCACCGCATTTGAGTCTTTATTCACGAAATACTGAGCTTAACATTGTTAACATCTTTTAACACCATGCACGTCCTTGTCTTTATTTTCTCATTCAAGCATGTTTCCTCACTCTAGTCTAGGTAACATTAACGATAACGGTAGCAATGTGCTACGCAGATAATCTCTAGCAAGAAACTTATCGTCACCACGAAATATATCTTTTAACATAATACTATATTTTATCAACAAATGTGTGCAATTTATAGCCTATTTTCATTCATAAAGCTTAAAGAAAACTTACCGCAATCAGATGAAATCCAGTCCCTTCAATAGCGTGGTTGAAGGAGGAAACCCCGAGTAACGTACAGCGAGACAGCCTTCGCATGTGCGATGACGGGAAGTTAAACGTACGAACTATAAAATCAAAATATTACGTTTTCTCAACTCAATTGTTTGTGTTCATTGGACAAAATATTAGTACACTTGCAGTTAATAGTTTTTATAAGTAAACTCAACATTGCACTCAAAAATGTGCCCACTCAACTTAAAATTTTAAACTGAGTTAACAACTTGCAAGTTGGATTTTTTACAGAACAAGTTCGCATGGGCATGCACCACTGACATTTTTCCCCCGAAATTCTAGTAGTATGTTACTTTTTCCATTTTTGAGCTTTTACTAAATGTATTTCCACAATTAACTTACTTGCTTAAAAAAATTGCTAAAGCATTTTATAAATAAAAAACATAAAAAAATAACTGTAAATTAAAATTAACAGTAAATTTTTTTCCTGGCCAATAATGATGTTTGTATTTAATGTTATATTTCTATAAAGAAATTGGAAGAAAAATATAAATATATATATATATATATTAGTACAGTTAGATAAATGTTCAATGTTTACTGCCAATTAGTAGTCTTGCGAATATTTTTTTTACCATCATGCATTCAATACTAATTGGCTTTGAGTAAATATAAATTACATTTGTCATTCCATGCAAAAATCAGATGTTATTGAAGAAATTAAATCTGCTATGAGTTAAGGTCTTTACCGCATTCAAAGCCATTTCCTTAATGTTTCAAAACTTGCTTGGCATCCTGTTTGCACGTTCCTGCAAATGTTGCCAAATGCCAACCGTGACGCCTGCCCTGTTGTGCCCTGCAGCTCAAGTCTTGTCCGAACCAAACAGTCTACAGAAACATGAACTATATATATATATACTTGCTGTCTTGGCCATTTCTCTCAAAGGATGTGTAATATATGCCTGTGTGATGTAAGTGCCTCAAAAGGAATTCAGAGGGTGGGGTCAATCCTTGTTCAATTATGGTAAATAATCATATAAAAAATATATATTTAAAAAAACATACATGTAAAAAATCAACTTCTGTTCTGAATGTTGTCAATGTCAGTAATTTTTACAACCCTGTCTGAAACTGAATTAAAATGTAGTCACTTTTTTCTTTATCTGAGATAAAAAGTGGAGAAATATGAGACATTTTCAAGGTATGGTAGTGGCAAGATATTTGTAAGGGACTGTAGTGGGAATGACCTGTACATAGATGTGTATGAAAAGTACATCCAGGCCTAAATTGCAATGCCCTCAGAGTGAATGAACTGTGTGATAGTACTGTCAGTAACATGCCAAAACATATTAGAGAAGTATGCAACCAGGCAGGGCTAAACGCATTCAGATGAGAGGTTGACAACTTCACACCTGCTGTGTTTTTAACTGTTTTGGAATGGCTCTCATTGTGTAAATAGTCCAGCAGCTCATCGAGGCTTCTCTACAGCCACTAACAGCCAACAAGCTTCTCATCACTCACAACCCTAAATATCTGAGGGGATATAGTGTTTAGCTCAGAATTAAACAGATAAAGCAGAACATGATTTACACACAGCATATATTGTGTTGTGAGATCCACTTTTTTTTTTTTTTTTTTTTTACAAATTAAAGAAAAGTGCATTAAATGTTTTAACACTTGAAATGTCAAAACTCACTGAACCGCCCTCATTTAGAGTTTATACATTATTTTGCTTTGTTATCATTTCTAACTTGTTTAAATCAAATTTTTATTTTGTTTATAATGTTTGAAGGAAAAATATTTAATAGTGTTTTATCAAGACAGTCATCAAGACATCCAAAGTTTTCTTTTATTGGTCGTGTTCATACAAGGTCCTGAATTATGACACTTGGGTACAGTGACCCCAATCAGACGACTCCTGTGCTGACACGTGAGAAGCGTCTGAACCGGACACCCACATTCCTCTATCTGGTTTCCGCTGTCAAAGCTACATTTATTTCTGACCATGCCAACTGCTAACATGGACCATAAGGAGTTCGAACAAACAGCTGCAAGCTTAGATCAGCACCAACTAATTCCCTAGCATAATTTAAGGCGGGCGTACACGGTGCGAGTTCGGACACTCGGGAGGTCGTGAGATTTGCACACGTTACGAGTCAGTTAACTTGATAATCACGTCAAAGCAGCTGGCACACGGCACGACGGTCCTGCACAAATTTTATCCCGAGCCAGCGGCAATCACGTGAACTTTTGCGTTAAACACAGAGACCGGAGCTTTCAATGTTGCAAGCAACTATAGCTTCAGATAGAAAAATGACAGAAATGTGTGTGCAAATGATTTGTCGAAAAGCAGAGAACTGTAGCCATTCCTTTCAACATAAACAACATAAATAGAGAGATAGAGAGAGATAGAGAGAGAGAGAGAGAGAGAGAGAGAGAGAGAGAGATAGAGAGAGATAGAGAGAGAGAGAGAGAGAGAGAGAGAGAGAGAGAGAGAGAGAGAGAGGGAGGGAGGTGTGTGTGTGTGACAGTGTATGCACACGCTGTATGGTTGCTACCACTGAGCTATAGTCCCATCGATCTAGCCTGTGACGTGGTTGTGTATGATTTGGCAATAGAGGACAATCGGGCCGACTCCCTGAATTGCACCAATGTCCAATGCTATACCGAGAATTGATATTGGTTTTTATACTCTATTGCTATACTAAAGAAACGTTAGTCACAAAAACAGACAAAACAGACACCCCTCGTTTTGTTTATGCTTCTTTGTTTATTATATTAAATAAACACATAACTATATATAAAATTACAACTAAACGTATTAAAGTTTCGTTTCAAAGACGAGAGGACAGTACATTTTGAAGACTCTGCCATAATCCCGTTTTCCTCGGTTTTCCTCCGCTTTAAATCTCCCCAACCGGAAACGCAAGAGCATCCTTGCATCAAACGCGGAAGTTATGCGTGCATATAACCCATTGCCTCTAGTGGAGGACTTTAAAGATTACTCCTCTTTTCATAGTTTCTATGCTGCTGCAGTGAAAATGAATTACTCATGGGTCATTAGATTTTTTATATAACAAAGGGTTTATGAATTCCTAACAAATTTCAGTCTATATTTTAGACTATTATTCTATATTTTGAATGCAATTTTTATTTTTTCACTTTAACATGAAAATGTTAAAGACATTTTAATGTAGACTCCAAGGGGAAACAAAAAACAGTCATCCTGTTGACTGATACATTTAGACCACATTTCAGAATAATAGTAAAGACAAAAAAAAAAAATAGAAGTATGGCTATTATGCAGTGTATTAAAATACACTGCTAAATGCCAACCGTGACGCCTGCCCTGTTGTGCCCTTCAGCTCAAGTCTTGTCCGAACCAAGGGGAAGCCCACGGGAAGCAGCGATTTGAACAAGGTGTCGCCCAGCCCCCAACTCTAGAATATCTGTCAGCGAAGCAACGCATCATATATACACATATCAATCAGTGGGCTAACGGTGAAACTGGCTTCAAGAGAAGGGAGCCCACGGGAAGCAGCGATTTGAACAAGGTGCCGCCCAGCCCCCAACTCTAGAATATCTGTCAGCGAAGCAGCGCATCATATATTCACATATCAATCAGTGGAGTGATCAATCAATCGATCAAATCAATCAGCGCATCATATATACACATATCAATCAGTGGAGTGAGAGGCAGTGATGAAGTACTCGAGTCCTGGACTCGGACTCGAGTCCGACTCGAGTCCTTATTCTCTGGACTCGAGTCCGACTCGAGACTTCATTCTCTGGACTCGTGACTCGACTCGGACTCGCGGACTGATGACTATACTTGGACTCGGACTCGAGAATATATAAAATCGGACTTGAGCATTCATCAAATGAATGACGTTGTTTCTGACTAAATAGGTTATAAAAAATTGATATAAGATGTCACACTTTTCCTGTTTCGGGGTCCAAGACCGGCCGTGATCTATTTTTTCCCCCACAGACACTGCTACCGCTCGCTCTCCTCGCTTGACAACACACTCACTGACGTCACTCACTTTACGCTGCATTCTCGTGAGAGAGTTAACGTAACACTCATTTAACACTAGATAAGTTCCTCTACATCTAATCAGCAATTTCGATTTTGGCACACTTTGCAGCAGCTGAGCTGACCACTAAGGAGCGAATGTACAGTGACGTGACATTTAAAGGTACCAGATTTAAACTGTGGTTTCGTGCTATGGCTGGCGCTGAGCCAAAATCAGACGCGCTCAGCGCTTAATTCCGCGTATCATACAATAACACAATTATGTTTATTTTAGCTAACAAACTAGACGGCGACCTTGACTATGTCACACATCGCAACCACTCTTTTCCTGCGGAGTTACAACTGCTTATAGCACTGCATTTTCTGGGTTTTTTTTGCCACAGTTACATTGGGATTTAGTTTGCTTTTCAAAATTTCAAAATTGTTTTTCTTTTACCATATTCGTCAAGAAGAATGCATTTCTCCTCCTCTGTCCAATTAGGCTTTCTTTTTTGTTTTCTTTATCCATTCCAGTTGACTGATCATCCAAAAATGTATTTAAACAATTAAATAAATAATTGTGCCACAGCTAGTTGACAATGATTTGAACTAAGGTCAAAGGCAATTCTAGTGATATCATACACATTTTTAGCTGCAAGAAAGAGTGCCTGAAAAATGTTGCTTGATTTGGCTTAAGTGTTTATAATTTCGACTCGGACTCGAACACGGGACTCGAGACCTCGACTCGGACTTGAACTCAGGTAATGGTGACTCGACTCGGACTCTTCTTTGGTGACTCGGACTTGGACTCGGACTCGAACACTGGGACTCGAGACTCGACTCGGACTCGACAGTTGGTGACTCGACTACAACACTGGTGAGAGGTATCTATTATTGCCTGTATCGATATTTGGTTATTTTCCAGAAAATGTATAAAAAGATCACATATTTTATGGTAATCTTTTAGTTTGCCGTTTATACTGTAGGTTATTCTTTCCAATGCAATACAATGAGACAGATCTTTTAACCAATGATCAATGTATGGACCTTCTATGTTCTTCCAGTAAAATGCTACTAAACGTCTTGCAAGAACTAGACGTGTCAATCATTTTAGTGTGATAACCTGATAACGATAGACTTACAGGAATTAAACCCAAAGCACATATTTCAGGGGTCATTGGAATTGGTTTTGAAATAGTTGAAGAAATTAGTGCTGTCACTTTTTGCCAGAATGTCTTGATCACCTCACATTTCCAGATACAATGGAAGAATGTATCCTTATGTTTTTGGCATTTAAAATCGATATCTGGGATTTCCGGGTTAAACCTATTAAACTTTTCAGGGGTGACATATGTACGCATTACCCAGTTATATTAGATCAGCTTAAATCTAGTGTTAATTGACAGATTCTGGGCTTTAACACATATCTGGCTCCATTCTGAATCTGGAAGGTCATATTGCAGCTGCTGTGTTTTTAACTGTTTTGGAATGGCTCTCATTGTGTAAATAGTCTGAGTTCAGCAGCTCATCGAGGCTTCTCTACAGCCACTAACAGCCAACAACTGTCAAGCTTCTCATCACTCACAACCCTAAATACCTTCAGGGGATATAGTGTTTAGCTCAGAAATAAACAGATAAAGCAGAACATGATTCACACACAGCATATATTGTGTTTTGAGATCCACATTTATTTTTATTTTTTTTACAAATTAAAGAAAAGTGCATTAAAGTCCCTGTAAAGTCAAAATTGAGTATGTGTTTTGAGTTTGTCACACCACAGAAAAATGTGTTATTAGCCACCCAGCCAAATTTGAATGATAAAAAAAGCCAGCAAGTACATAAAATAAGCTATCAAAATCTTGAAAAAATGAGCAGTA